TGTACTAAAAAAAGGTGGTTTCTCTTTTCCTTCTGTGTTTTTACTTAAAATGATGCAGCCAAATAGACTTTGGAGATAGATAAAAATCAAATTAATATCCAGCCTGAGTTTCAGAGGGGAAAAAAATCAGCCATTTGGTAGATTCCCAACATCAGAAACCGTAGAAAGGGAGAATACATACGGGCTCAAAGAGCTTGTTAAATGGATAAAGTAGTTTTTCATTGCCTTTGATGGCAAAAATAATGCCTCTGCTTCTGCAATAGGATTCCCAACATAATGCTGTGATCTTGAGCCACATGTCCCACTGAAGCCTTTAAAATCCAGCATCCCTTTAGTTTATCTATATAGCGGTAATTCACAACACATGTAATATCACAGAACTTTACTGAGAAAATTCAATTCTATCATACAGACAGATTTCTGAGAAAGAAAAAACAAACAAAAAACAGCTGATTGCATCCAGTCATTGAGTCTGCAGGATTTACTACCCCTGGATGAACATGTGACAAGAGTAGATATTTGCTTGGATTTTGTCATTGAGTCTGCAGCAATCTCCTACACCTAGCATGCATACAGCAGTAGGGCTGGGTAAATTTTCTGTGCCGGTACCAATACCGATGCCTTCACTTCGATACGGGTTCCTGAACGATACTTTTTTCGATACCAGTTTTATAATATCAATTTATTATGTTGTGTTATGTTCTTTTTCGAACATAACACAACATAATAAAGTACAAATCTTGAGTTTTATTTTAAGCTCTGATTTTTCCATTTACATTTTTCATCTTACATAAAATAAAATAAAAATTCAGTGAAGAAGAACAGTTGCAAAGAAGTCAGTGTTTAATATTTACTGTTACATTGTGAGGACCTTTTTACTTAGCAGTTTTTCTTTAGAAAAATTAACATGTCTACTTTCTCAGGAGACAAACAAGCCCGTTGAATGGGATCCTACTGACGGCACACCGCTGGTATGTAGGGGTCTGAGTGGATCAGACAGAAATAATATTGGAAGGCAGGATGGTAATCTGGATGAACTGACTGCACTGATTTAGTTTTCAGGTGGATTTTCCCACTTAAAAAGATAATAAAACTACTTTATTCCCACTGATCACAACAAATATAGCTGCAAGGCAAATAAAGGATAGAGTAGCTCCGTCCAACGTGCGTCAGAACCACTTTTCGACTTTTCGATTTTGCTGCTTTTGCTGCGTCCGGTGTGAAAGCAGCATGATTCACTCCGCTCTGGCTTTGCACTGCCCACAGGCTGCTGAGAGGAGGATGGTTACGCCCGGCTGTGGTCCGCTCTTCTTGCAGTCAAACACCACGCAACTTTCTGCTCTTAAATTGTTTCCGTGCACGATGTATTGCATTGCGCACTATTGGCATCAGTCTTAATAAAGTGAAGCCACACTTTTGACCTGGGGGGCATTTTAAAGGGGTTCCAAGATGCTCGCAACCAGTTCACAACAGATACACATGAACCCTGGCTGTAGGCGTGACCACCTGTGTATTTTTCCTGGATGACGCAATCACGTTAAGTGTTACAGCCAATCACCGAAACTTGGTACCGAAAGACTAGGCATGTTTCGATACTCTGTAGAACCGAAGCATTTCGGTCGGTACCATAAATGAACCGATGTTCGGTACCCAGCCCTATACAGCAGCAGTGAAGAAAATAAGCTCTCTAAACAGGATCAAACCTCCAGCAGAACCAAGCCCGGTGTAAATGGCTGGTTTTACTCCCACAGCAGTGTGTCACAGTGAGATAGTTGCAGAAATTTTCGATTTATGCCCAATACTGAAGCGTGGTCTCCGCTATGTTATCCCGCACCACAACACAAGAGGGGCAATTAAGAACTAGCTTTGGCTCTAGATACGGCAGAGGCGGTGAGGAAGTGGGGGCAAGTTAGTCTGACAAAGGAGGGACATGAGGGCGAAAAAAAGCGGGGATTCAGGTGGAAAAAGGGTCCCAGCGTTCTCACGCATCTCGCTCTTCTAGCTGATCCATTTTCACGAGTTGTTTTCCACAGTGGCGGTCATACAAACAAAACAAGCCGGTAAGGTACCAAACAGGAAATACGCATAGTGTAGAGTGGGTGTAGATTTGACCAATCAGAGGCCTCCTGTCTGTGGCACTGTCTGCGGTCACCTACAACTTTGGAGAGGTGCAGCAGAGTGTCTGCGGCACATTCGCGTTCACTGCGACACACACACGCAGACGACCTGGTTTCTGAGTATAAATCAGCCTTAAGCGGCCTTTACTGAGGCAGACTGAGGGTTCCAGAGGATATAAGAAGACGGTACATGTAAGAACTGATCCAGGAATTTGTTCTATGTTAGAAAAGTTTACAATAAACTCGATCTGTCTTAGAAAGAAACCGTTTAGCAGACAAGCTCTGAGCCAGGAATGAACAAAGAGCACAAAGAGCACATACAGGTAGTCACCATAAAAGCTGAGCCCATAGCTAAGTCTAGTAGAGATACAGGGCTAAACAATAAAAAAGGCAAAAAGCCCTTATATATTTTACCTCTGTTGCACATCTACTCACAGATTCTTGCAGATTATCATTACATTTATTTCTTTAGCTTACCTTTTTTTTTTACTCTGCTTGTATTAGTCTTCCCTCACAAAATTAAGGCTCAAGTCAAATTTGAATCACAAATATATACAATTTTGTAATTGAATTGGAGAAGGAAGAAAATGAAAAAATCTAGTTTAACCTGCTCCACTTATGGTTACACAATAGAAATACAGATATTTGTTCCATTTAAACGTTTACTGAAAGGACACGGCGATCTTTTTCAAACAATGGAATAGAGCACAGTTTTATTGTGTTGGTTTATTTAACATTAACTATGTCCATTAGCAGATTTAGCCAATTCAGCCAGGCTTTTTCTCTCTTTTTTGACAAAAAAGCATGTTCATAATTAATCACTAGGGATGCACTAAAATGCAAATTTGGTCCAATATTAATATCTGATTACATTATTGCCAATAACCAGTATTTACAGTTATATTATATCCTATATATACAGTATGTCCCTACTCCTTTGACACCATAAAAAAAATGACTACAATGTTGAGACCACAAGCCTTTGCTGCATTACTATCACTGTCACATGACCAAACAAACTCCACATGACTCATCCTCTTCCCTGAAATAAAAACACAAACTGGATGGAAATAAACAAAGGTTGTTCAAATTAACCCAGTTTTTCTTATCAGACCGATAAAGATATGTTTCAAGAGAGCTAACATTGGCCGTTAAATTAATTTCTGAAAAATAGAGGATTCCCTTTAACTTTTTTTTTTTTTAAAGATTTCCTAAATTGGATGCATTTTAAAATGATATATTGTTCTCAGAATTCGGTGGTAATCCAGGAACCTGCTCCATTATTGATTTTTTTCATCCGTTGTTCATAACCATGTCAACATAAAACTTAAAAAAGACTTGACATTTCCTCCTGTAATTGCATGATGTTCCTCATTATTACCGCAAATTTTTGTACAAATAAATTAGAAAGGTTGGGCTCCTACACGGCACCTTGTGGGACTCCACATTTAATATCTTTGTGCATTTAAGCTATCCTCTTTGGGTCCTACAGTTAATGGACAGAAAAAAACAAACTAAAAAAAAAAAAACAGAAAAAACGTATTCTTTCTTTCTGTAAAGTTCGGGTATATAAACAGTGGCTGTTCTACACAAAGTTTACCAGGGGTGCAAGGGCGGGGCCGGTGTTTTTATTGGGGACACAGAACAAAAATAATGATGATGAAAACCTGGTTGTATCTTAGTATGGCTAAAGTTTTAAGGCAGCTGCATTTTTTTTTTAAAGTAAAATGTAAAATAATGATTAAAT